GATATTACATATATAGGTACTACATGTGGACCTCTCTCAGATTTGTTCATTTTGTAATGATATCTTTAATTCTCTAATTTTGGTGAATATTTTTGTCATTTTTGGTAAAAATTGATATTTTTTTCTTGTTAAAAACCACAATCATTTATGGTGAAAAATGATATTTTTGAATTCTTGTTGAAAACAGCAAGTCCCATTGCATTGATACTATGCATATTGTTCATTTTCTAATCATATCTTCTGTTCTTTAATCGAAATGTGCATCACTAACAGCGGAGCTATCTCAGCCGAGAAGCTGCTTGTTTTTTTTGTTCTTGCATATCAATACATGTTCTAGTTGGGATGTGAATTGTGTTGCCTGTAAAACCAATAAAATTCTGCAACTTCTGAAATCCTGATAAAAAATATTTCAAACATCACTACTGGAAATGAACATTTGATTTGTGTGATATAATTACTTCATAGTATGTTTGGCTTCACAGGTCGTACAAAGACAGATCTGGAAAAATGCATCCATTTACGGAAGCTATGCGTCCATTGTTTTCCACAATTTTCCTCTTCCTGGTTGCCACTATGTGGGTTCATGGATCAACGTACGATATCCTGGAAGAAGAACCAAGAATTGTATTCTGGGCAATAGGAACCATGTTTTCAAATATTACGGTGAGTTTTGTTATCATTCAAGTCAGCTGCTTTGCATATAGCATCATAAACACCGACAATAGCATCATAAACACCTACAATTAAAGTCGTAAACACCGACAATAGTCTCATAAACACTACAATACTACAATGTCATAAACACCTACAATAATATCATAAACACCTAAATTGTTGTGAACACTTTCAATAGTGTCATCAACACCTAAAGTGGCCAAGATTTGCTCATCAGAAACTAAGCTTGGTGGAACCTTTTGTTTTACTGGGCCAGGTTGATAAAATGTAGCCAAAATTCTGTTTATCAAAACAAACAAAATTTGTTAGATTGAGAATGAGTTAGACAAGATTTCTTTTATCATTGTGTTTAGTAAGACTTGGGAATGTCACTCCATCATCAGCGTCTTCATGCTGAGAACTCAGAATTAGTATTTATCTCACTCCATCAGTCAGCGTCTTCATGCTGAGAACTCAGAATTAGTATTTATCTCACTCCATCAGTCAGCGTCTTCATGCTGAGAACTCAGAATTAGTATTTATCTCACTCCATCAGTCAGCGTCTTCATGCTGAGAACTCAGAATTAGTATTTATCTATATTAATACTACATTCAACAGCATTTAATACACACTAGAGATTACAGGCATATCAAAGACAATGCGTAACATTTCTTGTAACTATTTTGTAACTAATTTATCAAAACACAATGTACCATATTCATTCGAAACTTCCAATAAAATGTAATAACCTGGTACAGTAAAAATCTGTGAGATTTTTTTATTGAGATTGCTCTGTATGTTGTAATATCAGAACAACTGATTGCCCACATTGCTTCAAATAGTACAATGTACCTGCAGACAACAGTTTTCATGTATTTATATTACTTCTATATATAAATATGTCAGAAATATAGACATTATCTGTCGGTAATTAGCAATACTTTGCAGAAAAGTTGGAAATCAGTTCTGATTTTACAATATTCAGAGCATTCTTGGTGGTTTTCACTGTAATATTTTCTAGGGTTTTGTACATCTATAATATAACTTGTCTTTGAATATTCACGCATAATCTCACACATAGAATATTCAAAACAATATTTGAATCCCAAAACATTTTTCATGAAGACAAACTCGCAGTTGCATGTCTTTTATTCTCTCCTTTTTTTGATTAAAGAATATATAATGGAAAGACTTTTGTAATATTTACAGTGTCGACTGATAGTCTCACAGATGTCAAGTACAAGGGCAGAATTATTCAATGGTTTATTAATTCCATTTATGCTGGTACCCGCAATAAGTCTGGCAGTGCCGATCGGTATATACGAGTTATACCTGACATGGGCATTAGCGATATTTCTCACCATTGCACATCTGCATTATGGTGTTTGTGTGGTAAGATTATTATATTTTCTTTGCAGTGCTAATCAGTTATACTACTACAATAATTCTATGGTAACCACCAGTTGTCATGGTTTTTGACTCACGTGTGCGAAGCACAAAAAGGGAGTCTTTGCAGTTAGTGTGTCTGCTGTCTGTCTGTCTGTCTGATTTGATTAGGTTTTGGTAAAAATCCATGCATATTAATAACCTAATTTGCATGATAATTAGCTGATTTTTAGCTGTTCCATGATTGTTCCACTGATTTCTGAAGAACCACTCATTGGATTTCGACACATAGATGCTCTGAACTATAATGCGCAGATTTGATTAGTTTTGGGTAAAAATGTGTGCAATATTAATTACCTAATTTGCATAATTATTAATCGATTTTCGGCTTTTCCACTGATATCTCAAGTACTAATTGTCTGATTTGTTTTGGGGTAAATATTTGTGCATATTAATTACCTTATTAGCATAATTAGTTAATTTCCAGCTTTTTGCCTGATAACTCAAGTACTGATCATCATATTTCAATGAGACTTGCTACATAGATCTTCTAGGATTATGCAAAGACCTGATTAGTTTTAATTGGATATTAATTACCTAATTTGCATAATTTTCCACTGATATATAAACAACCACAAATTGGATTTTAATGAAACTTTTAAAGAGAACTATGCAGAGACCCAATTAGTTTTTGGTAAATACTTATGCTTATTAATCACCTAATTAACATAATTAACACTGATATCTCAATTACTGATCATCACATTTGAATAAAATTTGGAACATAAATGCTCTAGGACAATAGACAGGCCTGATTAAATTTGGGTTAAAATTTGTTCATATTAATTCTCTAATTAGCATAATAATTCATAATGTTGTTGTTCTGTTCTGTTCATATTAGTTACCTGATGTACATAATTAGTTTTCAGCTTTTCCATCAATATCTCATGTACAAGGTAATTTTGAATTAATTTTTAATGTGTCTTCAATACTCTCAGCACACGGGAGTTCTTTCTAAGCTTTCTTTGATTAATTGGTTATCATTGAGTGACACTGACCTAGTTAAACCTCAGTGAAATATTCACTGCTATAAAATTTTGGAATTTTCTGCAAAAGTCATGAATATTTGTCATTAAATAAAATCGGTTTACAGAATGTGCAGAATCACAGGTTTCACTGATGTTTTTTGTGTTCATCTCTTTCCTTGTGTCTTGACAGAGCTAAATCTTATTGTTTGTTGTTTGTTTTCTCCACAGGTGCGGCAAATGTGCGATCATTTCAACATCAACTGTTTTACAATCACAAAGAGGCCACCAAAAAAGAAGGAAATGTAAGATGCCCTCATTGGCATAATATCGCTATAGTAACACTACTTAAGAAATACAACTTTCTTGCACTATGGATTTTTAACATCTTCAATCAGTGGGAGACTCTGACAGTTGCATTGTGGGTGTTCTACCTTCCTGAGGACGTGCTAATCTACTGAGGGTGCTCTATCCTACTGAGGGCGCTGTTCTTTACTGCTGCCAACATGGGGCTCTCCACAATCCTATACTAAGTTTCACAGTGGAATTATTAATCCTCTGTTTCCCAACAATACATACATTAATCTGACTACATAATCTGACTACGTAATCTGACTACGTAATCTGACTACGTAATCTGACTACGTAATCTGACTACATAATCTGACTACGTAATCTAACTGCGTAATCTAACTACGTAATCTGACTAAGTAATCTAAGTAATCCGACTATTTATCTGACTACATAATCTGACTTGTTTTTGATGGCCAAGGTCAACTTATGTCATCCTCCATAAGTAAACTTGCATTTTTTTTTCAGATTGTATATTATGTCCATTTAGCCTAAAATTAACAAAATAAGTGTAAAATAGAAAACGGTTAAATGTGGAGCGCTCTCTACCTTTCACTTGTGTCTGGACACTAGAATACTTTGTTAGATTTCTGGTGTCCAATCAGGTCAATAGTTTGCATGGTGGGATGATTTTTACCATGCTTCAGTTTTTTGTAAAATGTTGTTGGCCAAAACATATTTTTATTTTAAGTCCCAGTTTCTATATTAAGTTTTAAATAATAAAATTTGTTAAATACTGGCAAAATAAATACATAAATCTTCAGTCATTATAAAAAAAAATTTAATAGAAATAGAAAGTATTCATTATTGTTTTGTCAATTGGTGATAGGCTATCAGGATGACGGTTGCTATGCATTAGGCATCCGTTGCTATGCGTTGGGCATCCGTTGCTATGTGTTGGGCATCCGTTGCCATGTATGTCTACCACATTGAGTGCAACCAGTTAACTATAGTATAATGAATATTTTTGTTGTTGTATTGATTCTTATCTCCAATTATGTTCTGTTGAATATAAGGGTGTCAGTAAACGATGTATCAGTGTCTTCACTTTTCTCCATGTGATCAGCCTAAAAAATTATTTTGTTTCGTGATGATTTTAAAATTAAACAATTTTTATCTTTAGCTTTGAGTATTGTGAATCCACTAATAACTTAATTACCCAATGATTATAACGGTAAAATGCAGAAACAGTGAATTATGACAAAGCAGTACGCTATGTTTACAACAATCTTACCAGTATTTATACCTCTATCACATTCAATCAATTCTGTTTTCAAGTTTTACAAAATAATT